TTAACCCAAGGGCCATTGTCAACTGCACAGTCGATTTGTACTTCTGTTTGCTGGTTTACTTGGATTTGCGTAAGGGGCCATGGAAAAACACAGATATTCCGAGTTGGTTCCACAGTTCGCTGAGAAAATCATCCAAATCATCGACTCAGCTAATCTAGGGGTTTATTGTTTTGGCTACTAAAGTCATATACCATCCCCCAAATTAGCATTGACCCCAACTAATCACCAATTTCAGAGGAAAATAGTCTTCCAACTTCCTTTCTAGGTCATGTTAGGTACGGGGGATGGGTTTACTATGGGTTACCGCCAGTCTTTTGTGTCCAATCCCCGGCCATTTCTCAATGTCCTGATCTTGCGCAGCTGTGCAACGACGAGAACGGCCCCAGGGTCACGGAATCCAACATGGACGCGGCGGGGTCGAGGCGAACGAGGCCTGCAAGCACCTGAGATGCGAGGGGTGGGAAGACATGGCATTTGTTTCGGGGTTGAAGCAAGAGCTGGTAAAAATCCATCAAAAGCCACGAGAGTATGGACAAGTAAGTTATTATATTGACTTAACCTGCAAATGTTGGGATTAAGCTAGAAAAAATGGGAGCTGTTTATGGAAATTTGGAATTTAGCAAACATGCTGAACTCAACTGAGCAGTGCTGAAAACTCCATGTCATCTCTCTTTTTCTGGTCAGTCAATAGGATTTCCCATAGTGGATTGTGATTGTCCCCTTTTTTTTGGATACAGTAACTCGCTCAAATTATCAACCAATCATGATACCCCAATAGTTTCATGTTTGAACTCCCTATGAAAAATGACGATAACCAAAAAAACCAATTAAGGGTAGATCGCAACTGCTCATAGAAATCATTATATTATACACATTATATACGTTAGTTGTCCATATATCACATTTTAGTCAATGATCTCATCCTATATTCCCCTTGATATTCCTATTAAATCATCATCATGTAAATCACCAACAACTCTCAACACATTCCAACTTGTAATCTCAATAAATCCCCAATCCCAACAAAATTCCAATGAGATCCCAACCACCAATGTGGGGCTTTTCATAGTCATGGGGATACCTATTAAAATGGATGATTTATAATGGGCAATCCTATCTGGTTGGTGGTATACCTACCCGTCTGAAAAATATGAGTTCGTCAGTTGGGATTATGACCTTCGCAATATATGGAAAATAAAGTTCATGTTCCAAACCACCAACCAGCTATAAAAATAGATTTCCATAGTCATGGGGATACCTATTAAAAGGGATGATTTGTAATGGACCATCCCATTAGAATAGATGATTTGGAGGTACCCCCATTTCAGGAAATCACCACGTCATCCGGCCAAGCAGCTGAAGGTGCACCGATTCGACCCAGCTGTCGCGATGGCAAAGACACTCCCAGAGCGATGCTGTCCGAGGGTGACATACTTGGGCCTGGCCGCAAAGTGCTGGGTAAACTATAACTATATAATATATATATATATAATATACATATATATATAATATACATATATATATAATATATATATAATATACATATATATAAAATATACATATATATATATATACATAATATACATATATATATATATATACATAATATACATATATATATACATATAAGATATATAATTATATACTTATATATCCATTAATCTAGTTATATATTATGAATCCCTTAATCTAATATAATAATTCACTAACCTGAATAGTTCGGTCATGTGGGGATGATTCCCCTATATCTAAACCATGATTCCAGGGTTCGGGAGAACAGGCTTCGGTTGCACCACAATTTACCCAGAAAGTGGGACCCTGGAAAAAAAAACCATAGGAACATGGTGATTTTACCAACATTGGGGATTTCCATGGGATGATCAGTTTGCTGATTTTAATGATAGCTAAGTTGGTTGAACGAACGGTGAACCAGGGTTTATGGCAGTAATAACTATAGTTAGATGGGATTATAAGGCCATCAATGAGGTACCAGTAATTCATGGATGTCACTGAATATCAATCTTGTTATTGCTGTTATGACTGGTTATTGCTGGTTATCAACTGTTACTATGCGGTTCTTGACGTGCGCATTCATGCGGTGATACTGCTTCCAAATGGGCTAATGCCGCCTTCTTTGCAATTAGATTATCAGCAATGAGGTTTATCATCCAAGGGGGGGAGATGAACAACAATGACACCACCAGAGTTTGTAGGGTCTTTGGGTCTCCAAAAAGGCTTCAGATTTTCCGGATGTTGGGTTGATCCTGACCAGCAAAAAGAACGGATTGAATCAACAGTAGGGATTTCAACCACCAAAACGAGATGGTTATGTCTGCGATTTACACCAAATGGCTCGAGGCAATCATGTCCAGGGTTAGCTGCAAAGTTCGATTCTCGCCCAGGGTAATTTTTTCGATCCCAAATAGGTCGCAGCCCGGGTGCAAACTGGGCGGATTTTCAATGATACCCTGGGATATTTATAAATACTTGAGAGGTATGAGATTTGACCCAATTTCTTCATACCAGTTCAAAAAATTATCACTTTGAAGTGGCTCATGGCAAAGGGACTCACAGCACGCTGCTCCTTGAAAGTTGTTGATCAATTCTTGTTGGGGTTTAGAACAGCAACAACTCTTGTTGCAGTCTTTTTTAGTCTAGACACATCGTGATTTCCTGTTGCTTCTTTTTCAAGTGGGTGAGATACCGATTGGATCGTTTCGAATCGTTTCGCCAATGTCGGATGTTTTCTTCGTTTTCTCCAGGCATGTGGATAGTACCCCTCGTAACGTGCAAAAGACTCTTCCCTAGAAAGCCAGTGGATATCACCTCACAAAAAAGCATCATATCTGGTTTCAATCCCCATACTTGTGGGTCATGATCCATCTTTGTGGTGGTTAAACACCACCTTTCATGACAACCAGGGATACCTACGGCATCTCACCTGAGCATGCAACGCCCATGGTCAGCACCAGTGGCTCCAATCGCGCAGAAGATTGTAAGGGCAACATGGAACCTGTGACAGCTCTGTTCAAACGGCGCAGTTTTGGTAATGAAAAAGTCTCCCTTCCTCAGTTTGGATTGTTTTCTGAAACCCACATGTTTCGTAGAAGCGGATGGAACAATCAGAATGGAACCGACCTTGGGAAAAACAGTGGTTATTCAAGCCATAAAAATGCTGATCTTGGGCATGATTTATGAAATTGGGTTACCACATTACTCATCGAATTCTCCAAGCAGTCGACTTCATAATTCAGCCCATGCCAGGCGGCACCTGATTTGGTGAAGTCAAAGACAGGCAGTAGAAACTCCAACTGAGAAAGACTGTGAAGAGACGGCGAGGCACCTGCGGCGCTTAGTCACGTCATTGCACGTTTATCTATGAGTCATGGCAGTCATGGCAGTCACGGTGGACCCTTAACATTGCTGGAATTGTAAGCAGCTATCTCTGAAAGCTGGCGCTTTTCCGGTGGCATTCTCGCTTTTCTGGCTGCATCAGTGGTTTCTGATCGATATTCCAAGTCTTGATTATACATCCAAATTCTGCTAGTTCAAATCCAAACTCCTTGATTGCACATATCCAGATTAGAGGTAAAATATCTCAATTTTGGGTTCACTCTACATCACCTCTCATCTATTTGCTTCAAGCTCCCAGTTCTCGCCACAGGACTCCGCCTAGAAAGGCGACATCCACCACGAAAGGTGAAGGATCCACACGAACACAGCCCAAGGTAGGTGATGGAAAACTTGAACATGTGAAGGACCTGGCTTTCTGGGTCTGCTATAAGTTCAGTACGCTGGTTATGTGCTCAGATTCATCTGGTGTTCAACAAAATAATATCGGAAAATCATGGAAAATCCCCTGCACAGATAAAATACCATCATTACATGGACACTCAAAACATGAGAATTCAACAATCTTTGAACCTGGAGCAGGGTTGACATATCCTTGATTCATCTTCGAATTCTGTTCCCAAGTCGAAATGCTCATTGATGGATAAACACCATTAAATAATCCGTCGAACAATGTTCAAAACCCTTGTTGGTTGATGATTGCAGGGGGTTATACTATCCAATATGTTGAGGATTATCACATTCCATTATGACAGTTCCTGCCTGTCCAAACAATACAAAATGGAATATACACATCCTCCATCAAAACTGCCACATATAAATCCATTCACCAGAAGTTTACCGAGAAAAGGGGGATTATGGAAGTTATGGGGATGGAACTAACACAGAACATACATCGTGAAGCAAGGAAATTATAGACGTAGCAACCGATCATAACGCGCTGGTTCCCATCATTGCAGCACACTTTGAAGATATTTAAAACATAATCTCCAAGGAAAACTTCAATGGATATCAAATTTCAGCTGTTAGATATCCAATAGATAACTGGGATATACCAAGTATTAGGGTCAATGCAAGCCTGCAAGAGGATACAACATATTGCCTAATCAAATTTGCAAACAAATAAAAACGCAAACTGTTCAACAATCATTCGCCACCTAATTTCCCATGTCTATATGGTTGATGGCAAAACCCAGATCTTTGTTGCTTTGTAAACAGGGTTTATCAAATCCTCATTGCTTAATATCTTCATATGTGACAGAGTGGAAACCCAAAATTCTGGTGGTTCAATCCTTCATGGTTCAGTGCAGGCAGTTCAGGCTGTAGTGTTGATGCTGTTGATGGTGCTTAGCCAGCCGACAAACCTACTAGCCCACCAAAAAAAATCACAAAAAATCAAACTTACCAACATTATAGAATTTGATTTATGTTTTTTTGTTTGCTATACCAACACTTTTGGATTTGTCTGAAATAGGCAGCCACACCATTGAAATTTTATCGCCATATTCGGAAAATATGATTTTACCCTTTGAGGGGTAGACCACATCTTTCAACCAGACCCGAGCATCATATTGGCGCATTCAAAAACAAAAAATATGCACTCTCTCCCATATACATATGTACAATGTATGATTTTATCTGTTGGTTGGTCATGACCACCATCCCCCCCCAACGAAACCATGATTGGGTATTGCTTCTATTCGTTTTGGGGGCTTTATTGGGGCCTGGTATTGACCAAGGGGCCGTAGCAGCAGCGTCGGCTCCATCCGTCCAGGCTCCGGCGCTGGCGAGCTCGAACCCGGGCGCGCCAAGCCCCGCGGCGAAGCGGAGGAGTCCAGGAGGATGCGGTCCAGGGCCAACGGTGGAGAGGCAAGGTGAAGGGGTCCCAAAGGCAACCTCAGTTGGAGGGTGAAAATGAATCGATCAGAGCACCCTGTGGTATCTTGCTCATGGGGTTGGTTCAACTGGGAAGAATTTGTGGTTGGATTTTTGTGGTTTGATGGGCGTGTGGTTGAATTTTGCCATGGAAGATCTCGGCTTTGACCAGTTTATTGATTGTTGATGGATGCTGGTGCTTGCAAGGATGATTCTATGCCACAGAACATGGGGATCCTTTGCCTGCAAAAAACCACATGTTGGTGGCTCATTGGCGCCCAGAACCTTCTCCGCATGATCCCTGCACGCCCGACCCCATTTCTCAACAGGGGTTGTACCCACGCAATTTCTAACTTGCCAATGGCAATTTCAAGGACCTTAAAGCACGGGTGTGGAAAACTTAATCAATCCAACTTGGGAATTCAATTCTTGAGCTATGTAGGTTGTTCACCAATTTATTGGTGCTTCTCATCGCATCTGGAAGCCCCGCTGCCAGCTCAATGGCAGATTTTAGCACAGATACAGCACAACTAGGCCATCACTGCAAGCCCCAGGGTTCAGAATCTTCATGTATCACTTGGTGGTCACATACCCAAATATTTGGATCGTTGTGTCACCATGACCTGATGCTTAAGGCCCACGAACCCTACATCTGGTTTCAAAATCAATCTTCCAAAATGTCAGAGATGGATCTTTGCTTCATGATTTCCAGGATTCCAACTGTCCTATTTACACCGCAGCCAAGGAACATAAAAAATCCATGGTTTTAGTCCCGTTTCTATGCTCATTTGCTGGTGCCTATGTTTTGCGTGAATCATCCCAGAACACCATGCCCCCAAGGAGCGCCGCCGAGGCACATCGCGAGGTCTGATTGGGCGAGGCTTCGCAAGGGCGATGAAGGATCTAAAAACGCAACGTCCTCAGAAGCCAAGGTTTGGCATTGTGCTGGGCACGGCTCTGAGATACCAGACATGAGCCTGGCCATTCACAATCCGGCTGAAGGATCTAACCGATCAAAACAGGGAGTTTGATCAAGCGCAGACCTGCCCGTTGCTATGGGAGCGCGGCTTTCTACATTACATTGCCCTGGCTGACCATCAGTTTGTGCACCTCCACCTGCACTGCACTTGTTCTTATGACCATGGCATCTCGTCGCTCGACGTGGCAACCTAGCAATTTGTCAGCATTGGTGTGTACCAGTCAGCTAGATCCAATAGACCGGGCGCAGGAGGCCTCCTAGTGATGATGAAATCTTCCCTTGTCATGTAAGATCCATGTTCACCGCCGGCATCCCGAATTCTACTGGACATTGGGCGCTGGGCTTCCGCATTGGACCAATCCATCATGAGCCCCCATTCACCCATTTCCGACTTATATCCGTTGTTTTGGTACACCCAACCTCCCGTTTTTGGTGGTTAAATCACCGTTTTAACGAAAAATGGTCCGGCAAGACGCCCCAACCAGTGTCTGTAAGTGTGTGTGTGTGTGAGGATAATGTATGATAATTAACGATAATGTTGATGATTATGATGATGATGATGATGAAAGATGATAGATGATAGATGAAAGATGATAGGTGAAAATGAGAGATGATAGATGATGATGGCGATGATGATGATGATGATGATTATGATGATGATGGTGATGAAAGATGAGAGATGAGAGATGAAAGCTGATAGGCGAAACATGAGAGATGATGATGACGGTGATGATGATGATGATGATGATGATGGTGATGGTGATGGTGATGATGATGATGATGGTGATGATGATGATGATGATGATGATGGGAGAATGAGAATGGTGCGGGCGATGGTGTTGAGGATGAGTTGGAGGGTGGGGTCGTGGATGACGATGTTGAGGAGGATGAGGGTGACAATGCGGAAGATGAGGTGGAGGATGACAAGGTGGAGGATGATGATGTTGCGGAAGATGAGGTGGAAGATGATGATGTCAAGGGGGAGGAAGATGATGATGTTGAGGAGGACCGATCCCAAGACTACGGCCCACACTTTTTGCGAGCCTGCGCAATCGAAATGCACAGAATAGCCATTTTTTGCGAAATTTCACAAGTAAAATGCTGTACCGCGCCCCAGACACGACAAGCGCTTTGTGCGAGCCTGCGCAGTCGAAATGCACTTGGACATGTCACAGGAGCCATTTTATGCGGAAATTTACAGGGAAAATGCCGGAACCCAGATTGAGCACCCCGATCAAGCACCGGCGGAAACCATCCGTTGATGTTTTCTGTCTAAAATAAGAACAGTTCACAAACCGAAATAAGCTGAAACAAGGCTTTTTGGGCATAGTTTCCCGTGATAACCATCAGTCCAATCACGTCGCAGTGAAATCCGTATGATTTACCAAGATTCATCAATATCCCATGTAGTGCCCAGCACACGCCCGGCCGAAGTTTCAAAAATAGGACGCAGCTAAAAGAATCAATTTGCTTATAGGAACTGTTGGTGAGTTGGAAAGAAGTGAAGTGAAAGGAAATGAAATTCATAAAATGAATGAAATGAAACGACATGCAACCAATGCATGAATGAATGAACGAACGAATGAATGAGTGAATGAATGAGTGAATGAACGAATGATTGAATGAATGAATGCATGAATGATTGAAAGATTGAAAGTATGAATAAATAAATAAAGGAGTTGACTGAAATGAAAATGACATGAATGAAAGAACGAGTGAGGGAATGAATGAAGGAATGAATGACTGAACGAAAGACATGCAGTGAGTGAATGAATGAAGGATTGAATGACTGAATGAAAAACATACAGTGAGTGAATGAATGAAGGAATGAATGAATGAAGGAATGAATGAATGCATGAATGAATGAATGAATACATGAATAAATGCAAGAAAGAAAGAATTAATGAAAGCATGAAAAATAAATGAAACAATGAACGACATGAATGGAATGAAATGAAATGAAAACAACATGAGACGACAGAAATCAAAATGAAATGTAATGAAATTAATGAATGACATGAAATTACATAAAATGAAAATAACATGAAATGAAATCAAATGAACGAAGAAAGAAATCAATGAATGAATGAACGATTGAATGAACGAAAAAAGACATGAATAAATGACGGAATGACATGAAATAAACATAAACATGAAAAAAGGACATAACATTTTGAATGAACGACATGAAATGAAACGAAAATGAACATGAAATGGCATGGAATGAAATGAACATGAAATGACATGACCATGACATGAAATGAAAAGAAATGTAGGGATTGAAAAAATGAATGACTGAATGAGTGAGTGAACGAACGAACGAATGAGGAAAGGAAGGAAGGAAGGACGGAAGGAAGGAATGAATGAATGAAGGAATGAATGAACGAACGGAAGGAAGAAAGGAAGGAAAGAATGAACGAACGAATGAATAATGAGTGAAGAAATGAATGAATGAACGAATGAACGAATGAATGAACGAATGAATGAATGAATGAAGGAATGAAGGAATGAAGGAATGAAGGAATGAACGAATTCACGAACGAACGATCGAACGATCGAACGAATGAACGAATGAACAAATGAACGAATGAACGAATAAACGAATAAACGAATGAACAAATGAATGAATGAATGAACGAATGAACGAATGAAGGAATGAAGGAATGAAGGAATGCAGGAACGCAGGAATGAATGAATGAACGAAGGAAGGAAGGAATGAAGGAATGAAGGAATGAATGAATGAAGGAAGGAATGAAGGAATGAAGGAATCAGGGATTGAATGAATGAAGGAATAAATGAGCGAATGAGTGAATGAATGAAGGAATGAATGGATTTGGCTGGGATGATGTGGTTGACATGATGATGATTTTGCTGACCTCATCTTCCACAAGTCCTCCGAACCCCTCAGGTTTTTCTAAACGAATTTTATGTAAAATCGAGCTCTCGCTACAGTCTCGTGCACCCTTTGCCGACCTCATCTTCCAAAAGCGCGCTGAAACCCTCATGTTTTGATGATCTTTATGTGAAATCAAGCGAAATCGAGCTGTCGCTACAGTCTCGTGCACCCTTTGCCGACCTCATCTTCCAAAAGCGCGCTGAAACCCTCATGTTTTGATGATCTTTATGTGAAATCAAGCGAAATCGAGCTGTCGCTACAGTCTCGTGCACCCTGTGCCGACCTCATCTTCCAAAAGCGCTCTGAAACCCTCATGCTTTGATGATCTTTATCTGAAATCGAGCTCTCGCTACAGTCCTGTGCACTTTTTGTCGGCAACTTTTTCCGATCGAGGCCTGCAACCGCGTAAACAGAGACCCTCGTTCGGCGACCACGGACGCCATTTACCCGAAAAAACCACAGTGTTCGCGCCGGAGAGTCCTTTCAAGCCTGAATTCAGGCGTTCCGGAGCCGTTACACTTCCCATCTACTTGATGATGATGATGATGATGATGATGATGATGATGTGTTTGACATGATGGTGAGAATGCTGGCCATGACAAGCGTCCGTAACTCGGAAGTTTTCGAACAAAACTTCCTTTGACTTAATGGGACTCATGTGACCCAATCATCATCCCCAAATGATGATCTTTCGGACCCCCCAAGCCGCTAGTTCAACATATGAACAGTCACCATGCAAATAGCTATATCAGGCTATATCAACTATCAGATGGTTGGGAAACTCTAAGCTCCGAAGAGCTAGCCATTCATAGCCCTAGCACTGGATTTCCCTTGAAACAAGGCATATCTTCACAGCAACGTCATGACTGGTTGAATTCGCCATGACAAGAAACCCACAAGAAACCCTCGATCGCTAGAAACCCGGGACGGAACATCTCCCAAACAATCCTGGTGAATTGAGCCTCCAGAGTATTGTTGGCTTGCCAGAGTAGTGGTTGAATTCTGAGTTCTTGATGCTGAAATATCTTAAATCCGCCATTTTTGCCAGATCACTATTGAAACTTATGCTTAAAATTACCGCCAGTCGTGGTTTGTGACGCCAATACAGAAGAGGGTTGAAGCTCATATGCAACCACCTTCCCCCAAGGTATTTACAGATTTCCATCTGTAATTGTTAGTAAATCCGGCATCCAGTGACGGCAGACTTGCAAATACTTTGATGCTCAAAATGGATAACGTGATCACTTACATCCCAATTTTTGCATCAACCAACTCTCAAAATTGATGGCTGCATCCTGTAATTTTACGACAAAATATGACAAAACCAGTCTTGCATTGGAAGCACATGCAACTGTTTAGCTGGTTCTGACATATGCCCATTTACTGCAAGAGATTATGATGTGCTAGATTATGCAACCACCTCTTTTCCCCGAATCCCACATTTCATAACCAAATGCCATGGACAAGACCTTACTTTGATGCATAAAACGCTTGAAATATCCAGTCCTTGCCAGTTTCCTTGCCAGTTGAAACTCGGGTTAGATCCCACCTTTTGTAACCAGAATATCATCAAATAATGTCAATGGCCCCCCGATAGTGATAAGTAGTACCCTCCCAATGAAACTGCCCAGGGGCTTGTGAACCAACAGTTGCCACTACCCATCTTTTATGGGTTGACACTATCCACTGAAAAATCTACTGGATGACATGACATTGCCCCCCAAGATCAGTAAGGTGATGACATATCCAATTTCGGTAAATCTCATTTTGGTAAATACCTCATTCTCATTTTAGATCTTCGTAAAAAAAAGAATTTCTGAGCAAAGCCAGCATTTTTTCGTAGAACATATTCCGTTCTTCATGGTAAAAATCAGCCGCTTCCTATGGGTTTTCCAATCGAATGGTCCAAGGTGCCATCACTGGTAGCATCACTTCCAGCCGCGCAGGGCTCCGCAACGATGAGGAGGCCCCCAGTTGTGCCAGAGCCACAAGGGACAACGAGGACACGGGGCCAAGGCGTGTGGTGCCCAGGGCTGAGGAAGGGACATCCAAATGGGAAACGGATCTGAGAAATGGGGAGAAATCTGATGAAATGCAGTTGGAAATGGATGAAGATGAATCAAAACAACTGAAACTGTGAAGAAACACTGGAAGATCGACATGGAAGAAATCCAAAATGAAGATGAAAGCATCGGGTTTGGAGAGACTTTGCGATGGAAGGAATGGCTCAAAAAGACTCACACCTAGAAGGCTCACAGAAAGGTCGAATCTTGCGATGCCCAAAATGGAAACAACTGGTTCCAAGCATGCAAGTTGCCTCACAGGTGTGGTGAATTCCATTGAAATCAGATCCAAAATCAAGGCCATCAACTCCATTCTCGCAGATGCTTGTGAAAACAAGGGACTTTCCAACTGTAAATTTTCCATCACCAACAGCAAGGACACCAAGCCAAAGCATGCCAGGCCCAGTACAGGCATCAAGCTCCCCATTCGACAGCAGCTGTGCAACGATGGTGACGCATCTAAGGAGCCGAAACTCGACAGCAGCAGCAGTGCATCTGGGTGGCTGGAGCTATGGACTGATGGGAAAAGCTCCGGATGAGCGAAACCCGAGGCTGACGACGATGGTCCCAAGAGACCAGGAATCGATGGCACAAAATCCAGGCGTACCATCGACCTTGCAGCAGTTGAAGAGTCCATGGAGCTGAAATTCATCGCTGGCAGAGGGAGATCTGCATGTGTGAGACTTCGGGCTGACGGGAAGGAGTCGAAACAAGTGGCATCGGGCACGGGTAACTTGAACAGCAATCCAATCCGACTGATCCCAAAGAATGAAAGGAACAACCCTACACATGCGAAACTTCGTGTGAACGGTGAGACTTCGGAGCTGCTGAAGCTCCAAACCAACAGCAACAAGTCCAAGTGACCAAAACTTTTCGCCAACAAAATTAGCTCCAGATGCAAAGAATCCAAGATCAACACACTAAACTCCAATCGCCCAAGTCCGAACATCAAAGACATTGACTCGGATCACACCAAACTTTTTACCGGTGTTGCAGGGTCCAGCTGCACCAAATCCAAGACCAAAAAGGAGAGGTCCAACCAAACAGCACCAGCAGGTGGCAGCAAAAAATCCAACTGCAGGAAAGATTGCAACAAAGCTGACGCTTCCAAATGACTCACCTCTAAAATTGGAGGCAGAACATCCAGGCGAAGAGGTGCTGATGTGGATGTGGCTGCATCCAACCTGCGAAGGGGCGAAAGGAGGACCTCATGGCTGCCCTGCGGCCCCGCAAAAACGCTTCAGAAAGATATATCATCATCATTCAATTCGTGCATTTATGGTCCAAAAAGTGGGAACTTGTGTTTGGGTTCCCCAGTGCCCACTTCAATTTTACGACATGAAAAGCTGCAATGGATCAAAGTTGAAACAAAACCTCTCCGGACAGGTTTGGAAACCTCCTTGGTCTCATGCAGGATTTTCCGCTGCATTTCCCCTCCAAATCCCATTTCCATCATTTCCATCACATGTTCCATCCAGCCTAAAAAAGAATCTCCAACCCCCACTATTTCTCCCACTGGCTTTTTCCCACCTGAAAAATCCTCTCAAAATCATCAAGGTCTCCATCTGCACATGGCTCAGCACCAACAAACTCGGCTCCATCCTGGCTGCGCCCCGCAGGAACAGCGACAGCTCCGAGCTCACCACATCCAGCGCCGGCAGCGAGGCACCCAAGCGACCGCCGCACAAAGAGGAAGCCGAGCCCAGCCGTGCTGAGCTGTGCAAAGGTGGTGAGGATCCGTATCCAGTGAGGTCCAGGATGAGAAGGGAAGAGTCCTTGGGGAACTGGAAGGTCCAATGGTCCCGGAGATTTTCTGGGAGCTTTAAGGGATTTTAAGGGTCTATGTGTTGTAGCCTCTGGTAAACTAACAGTTTGCTATTGAAAATGGCCCAGTCGAAATAGTTGATTTACCCATCAATAGCATGGTGATTTTCCATAGTTATGTGGCTGTTTACCAGAGGGTAAGACATTTCATTTTGGGGATGATGCACTGCTGTTGAACAATGACATCCAGTCTTTCGGGGAGTGTTCTCTTGTGATCCTGCCGACAAAGAGCTCCACATATGCTGTGAAACGGAAACCTCTCCAAAACTCCCAAACTCTGAGTTCTCATCACAAAATCTGACTAGTTCATGGTCATGTTCCCCAAGATCTCTCCATTCAGTGGATTGTATATATTGTATCAGGCAAAAAGATCGACAACACCTGAGTTCTTACCCCCCAACTTGGTTTAAATTTCCTCCAGATTTTCCCAACTTGGACCCATTCCCAGTGGAGCATCCAATCTCGCAGCCCCCATCAGTGCCATCACAAAGCCCGGCCGCGCCAAACTCCGCAGCGACGCTGAGGCGCCCGAGCACGCGACGTCCCAGGCTGGAGGTGATGGCTCGGGGCAACTGGAGCTGTGGAGGGACACGGTGAAGTCCGAGTGAACCAAATCGAAGACCTCAGGCTTTCCGAAGTCATGGAGGAAACCTCAAAATATGGAAAATCCATTTCTATAAAGTCACAAGAGCTGGATGGTTGATAGTGGAAAATCGATGGATGATTTTTAGCCACATGACTTAGGAAACCTCCAGATGGTCACTGATAGGGTTAAGAGTCAAAACCCTACTCTAAGTGCCCCAAAAAATAGCTGGCCAATGGATGTTGATTCCCCCAACTGTAATAGGTTTTGACACATCATGCTATTTGGAGGATCATCCTGAGGATTTGGTTGATAACTTATCCAGATTTATTGGGGCACATCTATTGGGGTACCCTCTGGTAAACAAACATAGCTATTGAAAATGGCCCAGTCGAAATAGTAGATTTACCCATTAAAAATGATGATTTTCCACAGTTATGTAAACGTTTACCAGAGCGTGGCTGGCTGGAGAATCTATCATTTACACATCATTTTCCCAGCCATAAACCTCGATGGTTTTCCCAGCTACGTTTGATCACCGGAGGCTACTAAGTTCGTGATGGTGAAGAATGGATCAAACAAATGGTGATAATAGTACCACTATTATCACCATTATCACGAACTAGTTTTAATGCTATCATAATCATATAAGCCATAATAATGTTCGTGATCATGGTACTAGTATCTAGCTTATAAATGGTGATAATAGTGGTGGTTAAGGAAATGATGAATGGATAGTAGTGGTCATAGTAATGGTGACTGATGCTGATAATCATGGACCATACACATTTGCCACGGTATGACAAGGTGGTATAATAAGAAGAATACGATTGATGGGTGCACATTTCAAGCGGCTTAGAATCAGGTCAACATACTTCAACATCGCATAACAATGGCCATCATGATTATGGTGAATACCATAATTGATGATAATCATGATTGACAATTACGAATCGTGTTTTTTCAAGTTGGGACTGGGGACCCCCCAAAAATTATCGTAGTAAAAAAAAGGTCATCTTGAAGGGAAAACCAAGGGTCATCATATTGCAAGTGGTGGATACGAGAAGCAACGGTCGCAATTGGTGGTGAGATTGGAAAAAGAATGGCGCATCACTATCTACACGAATAGAAGATCAGAAGTAAGAAGGGATTCTCAACAGATTCTTTTATTGCTGGCAATATATACAGTTGAGAATTTCATCATCAATCGGAATGTCCCGATTGAGTGGTCAGAGTTGGGCATTCCTGGGGGTTTCCTATAAATAGGGTTTCCACTAGTTATCATCCATTTAAACAGGATTTTCCATTTTTAGATTGGATTTTCCCGTAGAAAAACCATCCAGCTATTGGGTTCCATCATACACCGTCCAGCTATTGGAATTTTCCATATCCCTCACCAGGCGACCAAAACATCACCGTCCTTTGTCGGACCCCCATGGTTCGATATTTGATTCATCTGAATCGGTATATGTTGGTGAGATAGAATGATAATTTCCAAATATTCATACATGGTATCATGGTTGTATATTCCCCTATCTGCCAATGATATTATCCCCAATATTGGTTGACCATGATAAATCAGCCAAAAACATCTTCTCCAAAGCCAAGGGGACGGACAGCGAAGAATCTGACAGTCCCATACCTGCAACATCAACGATGGGGATATCATGAGGATATCATGGGGCTATCTTCTGCTACAGAAAATTGTTCAGAGTTAAATCATCTACACGTTGCCCACATGTGTTTTTTTTGAAAAGATAGCAGAGAGCCAGCGAAACCATGGAAAAAAACAACCACAGGGAGATACGGAGCAAACATTGAGTTAACGTTTGCAACACATATGATCAAAACATCGAGTCTTATCAACAAGAAGATTATTCGCCCACAAATACCACCAGATTGATCCAGATGGGTTTGTCTGAAAATCGTCCCCTAAATCCATGGGATTATCATCATGTTCCACATGAAATAGGCATTTTGGAGGTATACCAAAAGGTCAGACACACCATGGAAATGGACATGATGAATAGTCAATGAAATAGTGATAGTTAAGCAATGGACATGGGTATATCCCATGCAGCAGGATATCATAGAGATTGACTAACTATGGCCTTAAATAGCCTGCAAGAAAAATAATTCCTAGCTGGTGAACGTAGATAATCCCATACCAAAAGACTATCCAAGATGAGTTTCCACACAAGATTGACCTAGTTATGTCTGGCTAGTGTTTCTGGGGTATATAAACCATCATAAATCAGCTCTAAATCCCATAAAATCACTAGGTTTCTTGGTTGAAAACCACCATGAAAATCCACAGTGGTTAGCATAGTATGTCTCCAGGATTCATGACTAAAAAAGACCACATATTCATTGGCGACGAATCAATAGCAACAAACCAGCTACTACTTATAGCTAATGCCATCTAATGCCATCTAATGCCATCTAATGCCATTAATGATATCAACAACTAGCAATTATCACTAAGATTCCCGGGAACGACCACACCCCACAGCATTCTTTTCGTGTGCTCCATTGATCTGCCAAGAAACTCAGAGCCGCGGATGGAAAGTCAAAACGACTGGGGCTTTTCGAAAATGAAGACACCTGGCTCCATGAAGTTTTTCCTTTGGAGGGGATAGCAAGATATCACCAACAACAGTAAGGAGATGAATCAAACTGATAGATGTTTTTTTAAGGAAATCGATGGGGAAACAAATGGGAATGTGGCGTCAAAGTCGAAGTTGGAGTTGGCTACCGTTGACAACTACCCAGGGGTCGTTTCGATATTCACTAAGGTTTACCTCAGTTTTGATAGTTGACTACCAATGGTTTGGTAAATAAGACCCTCTATCTTGTTGGACAGAGACCCATGGTGTGTTAAATCCAAGTTTAACTGGAGAGCATCCACCAGCAATGGGTCGCCACATCCCAACGAAGACATGCTGTTCGGATTGGTTGGCCCATATTTTCATGGCGAAATTGGTTTCGTCAAACCTGACACCTCCAAGTTTCGGTTTCTCCCATTTTTTTCATCAAATCCACCATTGTTTTCTTGAACACAACGGCAGCAAGGTAAAACCCACCATTTTCTAAATCAAATTTGCTGGTTCAAGCGCCATATCTTTGTTGGATCAACAGATATCTTGACTGGTCGAAGTCAATATGTTTAAGGCGACTTCACCAACCATTTCCAAAAATGGGACCGGGATGTACCGGGTAAACCACATTTTACTACCTAAAGCACCATTGCCATCAATTTGAGCCACTATCACATCTATTTCTTTCTGCTTAATCAACAAAAAATTCTCTTAACCCCAACATTCATATTTATCACGATTGCTTACAGGTGAATTCCCCATATTTTGCATGGATTAAACTATGTTAAATCCAGCATTTCCTCCATTTTTGCCGGGTGAACAGTCCGTTTTTCCCGGTGAACCCCGGGCGCCTCCAGGTACGCCACGTCCAACAGCGACAGCAGCGGCTCCAGACGCGCGAGGCTCCGCAGCGACGCGGAGGCGCCCAGGCGAGCGACGTCCAGGGCAGATGGCGAGGAAACGGAACTCACGCGTGATGGGCCCAGCCTGGGAGTCTGGGAGTTGGGATACATTTGTATATAGTATGTGTGTATATTATTCTCATAATATATATATACGCATATTATATATAATATAGTAATATAATATGATTATATAGAATTATATTGGGATATTATACTATATAGACATATAATTTTTATGTGGATTTATATCATGTGGTTAAAACAATGCCATAAACCATCCCCCAAATCACCATAAATAGGTGGTATACACCATGATATAGCAATGGGAGTATATGGGATCGTGTACCCTAGGTATATATATATATATGATTATATGGACATACGATGGATATTGTAATGGGATGTGAAATCTCATTTAATGGATCTAATCTGTAGGGATATATAATGGATATGATCATATAGAGTGATTTTAATGGAAAAAACCTCTCCCACAATCCCATAAGGCTGGGCTATATATGGTCAAATCTCTGTCTGTTTCTTGATCTTCTGATATTAGTGGATCAACATTTCAATACTCACCTCTTGCTAGAATCCTCCGTTATTGTTGCTGACATTTCCAAGCGTTTTGCTTCATCTCTTCCAATATTCACTCTGAAAACCCCGAACTTTTCCAGCTTTCAGCACCATTCTTGCATCCAAAAAATCCATAAAATCCCATAAAAATCCAATAAAATTCAACTTTTTTTCTCTGGCTTTCACAGGTTCCATGGATTTCTTGGTCTCCAAGGCGCAGCAACGCCGTGGATCCCAAGCATAGCGGCTGCTGCAGCGACGGCGGCAACTCCAACTGGGCGGCGTCCGAGGCCGACGAGGGCGAGCCGCAGCGGGCGGAGCTGCGGAGGGACGACGAAAAACCCAGCGCCGTCCAACCTGCAGCGCTTTTGGGAGAACTGAGGATCTCATGGGTGAAATCCTGGTTGATTATCCCATTTTAATGGGATTTAAGCCACAAACCATGGTTTTTTGGATTGGGATTTCACTGAGATCATGGGTTTTAATGGGTTTTAATGGGATTTAATGGGCAGCTAAAATGATATAAAATAAGGAACCAAGGATCTCATGGGTTTTTAATGATCAAAAACGATATGATTACATCATGAAGAACTGGGACTTCATGGGATTTCACGGGATTTAAACAATAAACTTTGGGGGATTTAAGCTACAAACATATGGAGGATTTAACCAAGAATAAATGGAGACTTAGACACGAAAAATGGTGAAATGATTATTAGAGATATAATGGGGAGATATCTCATAATCACCAAACAGAGTCAATTTGGATCATTGGCCTATTTCTAGGGTCAAAAAAAGATAACAATTCGAACCACGCAGCAGTAAGGGATATATTTCAGAATCACGAAACAGAGGCTTCGGCTGTAAATTTGCACCACGACCTCTGGGAGAGATTGAAAGACTCCGAGCAAAACACATCCGCTCGGATTTGGATTGATGTGGATCTTGAAAGATCTGACATTTTGGATGATTGATGTCAGCTTTTCACCAGCGACTTCAAAGCCAGTGAAGGGTCGATTCCAAACTGGAATGGAACATACCCTCTGGTAATTTAACGATTTGCTATTGAAAATGACCATTTATAGTGGATTTTCCCATTAAAAATGGTGATTTTCCATAGTTTTTTGTATGTTTACCAGAGGGTAAGCATTTCTGGATTCGATGACCTCAACAGACTGAAGAGTTCGACCAAACATCGCCCAGGCACTTGAAATCGACATCGATGGCTCCAATTTCGCAGCACCACAGATGAAGATGGACGATTCCAAGCGCCCAGCAGAGTGTGATGGCAAGATGAAGTCCTTGGGAACGGAACTTGGTTAAGATCCCATGGTTGGAATTTACCCATGAAATATATCACATATGGAGGTATGACATGGTGGTATACCTACCCCTCTGGAAAATGATGGAGTTCGTCAGTTGGGATGATTGTTCCCAATATATGCAAAAAAATGTTCCAAACCACCAACCAGGGAGGTATGACATGGGTATCTGAAAATGCGGTAGCCCAAAAATTCAGTGGCTGTTCATAGTAAACGCAGTTTTTTTTGAGGTAAATCCCCAACATTTTCACACAAACCCAACCATCATATTGTTGGTTAGATATATGCCATACCATTTACAGTAATCCCTCATTTGATGGGTCAAATCACAATTTTCACATGATTGACCCATGAAAGCCATCCCAACCAGTGTTTGGTTACTTATAAATCACAATTTTTGTGGTATAAATCACAATTTTTGTGGTATAAATCACAATTTTTGTGGTATAAATCACCATTTTTGTGGTATAAATCACCGTTTTTGAAGTATAAATCACCGTTTTTGTGGTATAAATCACCATTTTTGTGGCTGATCTCCCCTTTTTTTGTCCCACATCCCTCTACGACCCAAGGCGCCAACTTCGCGAAGTCCAGCACCAGCGACGCCAACTCTGAGCGAGCGAAGCCGCGAGGAGCCACGGAGGCATCGAAGTGGGCCAGAGCCAAGGCGGGAGGAAAGGACCTCGGGATCCGGACTCATCCGGACTCTGGGTATCTGGGTATTTTGCACTTGATTTTTTAAATGGACATATATATATATAAATATATATATATATAATGTAAAATGGCAGTCGACTGTTGTATGAACTGTTGATGCCGGAGTTGTGCGCACTGTTGCCTTTTGCACTGTTGGGCAATGGCTCAAGGCCTGTAAGCCACATGTGAGACATGGTATGCATGTTGGGACCAATGTTACATTCTAACACGCCCCCTCGACATGTTGGCTATTGTTGCCTGCATGGCGAATCTAAGAATGTTGACACTGTACACTTTACATTCATCAGTTGTTGAAGAAAGATGTTGTCTATTGAGATAGTGTACATCTATTCATCGGAAACTAATGTTGTCAGCTGCACTCCATGTTGACGTCGCCATCATCTCTGTTGGTTTGGAGTGTTGACTCCAGGATGTTGCAGTTTCACCCTTTGTTGCTGAATTGTTCAGCCATCCCGTGCCTCCACGCTGTCCTCGATGTTGTGAGGCATGTCCTCATCATCTTCTCTGTTCTCTGGGTTGGAACTGTTGCGATACTGGTTGTACTTCGCAACGAACTGTTCCATGTTGGTGTTGGCTGTGATCCATTCGATCACTCTGGCGTTGCCCCTCAATCTCTCCATAGTCTTGTTGCCTCCCATGGAGATTTGTTGGAGATGACGCCAATTCTGAGGTGTTGACAGCAATCCCCATAGGCGAACTGTCTCATCAGTGGACAGTTGTTGGAGCACTGTTGCCCCAGAGTATTCCAAAGATTGGAGAAAACAGATGAAATGACCGTTGTTCTCAGCAGAGATCAACGATGTTGGAAACACGTAGTTGTAGGTCCACATGTAGTTGTTGGACCAAGACAGCTCTGTTGTCACCTGATGAAGGACAGTGTTGTCCCTTGACGAGGTGACTTCCCAGATCTGTGTTGATACCTGTTCATCAACTGTGAACCGCATGACGTTGCCTGCCTGGATCTGTAATTGAGGTCGAACGTAGCCACGGTTGAAGATGTCGACCGTATTGTTGCCCAGGCGTTGGAGTTGTTTCAGCTTGTTGACAACCACACATGTCAACATCCACGTGTGGTGATTTGCTGACTCCAAATGCAACTCTGTTGCATGATAGGCACATGTTGTGACCGCGGCACCTGGGTCTGTTGACCAGATGGCTTTGTCAAACTCTGGCATGAGGATGTTGCCACTAATCCCCAAGAGTCGGTTCGTTGTTGGGCACAGCGCTGACTGATGGATCTCTGTTGGAAGGCAGATCCACCATGCTTCCAAACTGTTATTCTCCATCATCATGTTGAAGGCATCCGGGTTGAGGCCTTCAGGGTTGTTGGTCGCGCTCATCTGAATGGCCCTTGTTGTCAGGCCAATGCTGCCCAAGGTCACCTTGTGTGGGGACCTGTTCACAGGTGGAGTTGTCAACGCATTGCTGACTAGGGACATTGTTGCCGTAGGTTTCAACGATGTTGAAGCTCGAGGTCTTGTTGAACCAAACGGCTTTGATCAATAAACTTGTTGTCAACGAAATGTTGACCTTCAAACATCAGATGCAAAACATGTTGAATTCAAGAAAACTGTTGAAACACTGTACTCGAAAGTCGACATGTTGTCAAACGTGATCATGTTGCCAAATACGTCCACAATCATGTAGTACACATCATGTTGAAGAAGTATATGACATAGTTGATCATGTAGTGATACTTCATGTTACGAGGATGTAGGTGAAATAGAGGATGTTGCTGACCTTTGTCAGCACCATGGCTCTCTGGATCTGTATGTTTGTGTGTGCATGCCACGCACGATGTTCGCACGTTGTGCACGCGCTCACACATGAACACGCATGCTGCAGTGAAACTGTTGTTGTTGCTTGTTGTTGTTTGCTCAGTGACGCTGGGTGCTGATGCCAACATCACTGATGTGACGCAAAAGCGTCTCTGTCGCGACGTACTTGGTGAAAATGTCGGCCGGGTTATTGGTCGTGTTGATCTTGACAATCCTCACAAGATCGTGTGCGACCAGTTGTTGTATGAAAAGGTGCTTGAGCTCGATATGTTTGGCTTTCTTTGATGCTCCAATCCTGGTTGCCATGCTCTTTCCGCTTGATGAGTCGGTGTGTATGCGGATGTTGATCTTCTTCATGTTGAGAGCTTCCTTCAGGAAATTGCTGATGTGGAGTGCTTCTGTTGCTCCTGTGTTAATCGCGTAGAGTTCTGCTTCCGCGCTGCTCAGCGCGATTGTTGCCTGCGTCCTGCTTCCGTAGTGGATTGTTGCTCCAAAGACTTTGATCAGAAATCCTGTTGTTGACTTCCTCGTTGTTGCACATCCTGCCCAGTCGCTGTCGACAAAGACTTGGATGTCTGGTACTGCTTCAGCTGTTGGTGTCTTGGTTGTTGGTCTTATGTATTGTTTGTAGTGTTGTGTTCCCTTGATGTACCTGAGCAAGTGTTTCAGTTTCTGCTGGTCTGCTGTTGTTGGTTGTGTCAGAGCTCTTGCAAGCTCCTTTGTTGCAAAGCCAATGTCTGGCCTTGTGTAGGTCATCCATTGTAGCTTGCCAACCATTCTTCGGTAGGCTGCATGTTCTTCTTTGTTGAGTTCTTGTTCCATCTCTGATGTTGCTTTCAGAGTATTGTTGCCTGGTGCTGGTGCTGAGTTGCAGTTGAGCATGCTGGCTTCTTCCAGCAGCTGTGTTGTGTAGCTGTCTGCTAAGCTGATCTCGTAGTAGTCACCTTTGTTGCAGATGTTTCTACCCAGAAAGCTGATGGTGTTGCCGACTGTGAGTTCTCCTGTTGGACGGAGTAGAAGGTGTTGCTGAATGCTTTTGAACAGCTTGTGAACCGTCTCCTGTTGTCCAATGAAGAGCAGGTCGTCGACGTAGCATAGTATGTATGCATCTCCTCCAGGTGTTGCGTAAACGTTGGGCTCGCTGACAAGTCGTCGTAGTCCAAGTTGTTGCATCACCTCTGCTAGGTGATTTTGCCATGCTTTTGGGCTGCTGCGTAAGCCATAGATGGCTTTGTTGAGTCTCCAAACGATCTGGTCGAAGGCGTTGTAGAACTCTGCTGGTGGATACATGAAAAGATCTGCTGTTGCTGCTGCGGCATGTAGAAAGGCTGTTGAGATGTCTCCTGTGAGACAAATCCAGTTGTTGCAAAGTGCTAAGACAAGTAGCATCCTTAGCACGCAGAAGATTGGTGTTGATGCAAAGATGTCGTCGTTGTCGTTGATCTCCTCAGTGTAGCCCTTTGCTACAATTCGTGCTCGAACTGTGTTGCCTTTCTGTCGAAGGACCCATCTTGATTTGATGATCTTCTTGCGTTGTTCTGGTGTAAGTTGGCTTATGTGTACCTCTGTGTACACTCCTTGTTCCTTCATTGACTTGATTTCTTGCTTCATTCCTTCCGTTGTTTGTTCTTTTTCTAAACCTTCGGTGTTGCTCACCCAAGGTTCCAGGAGAATCTTTTCAGCTTGTATCTCCTGTTCATCTTCGTTGGAGGTTGCTTCTATCTTCTGTCCTTTCTTCGTTGTGACTGTGACTTGTGATATCCTCATCCTTGTTGTTGGTGGCTCCTGAGCTGTGTCAGGTCGGCTGGCTGCTGTGGCTCTTTCTGTTGTCCTTGCTTGCTTTGGTGAGCTGCCTTGTGTAATCTCATCTGTTACTTCTCTTTTGCTTTGTGTTGGCATTGGAAGTGCTTGCTTTGCTTGCTGTGTTGCTGGCGCTGTTGCCATTGGAAGGTCCGTAAGTGCTGGTGGTGGTGTAGCGTGTGGTTGTACCATGGCTTTTGGTTGTGGACTCTGCTGAGTCTGTGTGCTTGTTGTTGTCTGCTGCTTTGCTGCAGCAGGTTGTGGTAGTACCACAATGCTTGGTGTTGTTGGTGGTATCATGGCTGGCGAAGAGTTGATGATGTCCATCAACTGCTTGTTGTACTTGTCTGGCTTGATTTGTCTTCGAATGGTCCTTGCTTTGACCACTTTGTTGCTGATGCCAAGTATGTTCTCGTTTGTTGAGTTGTCCTTACCTAGCCAGATGGCTGGGTAGAACCTTGCTTCCATCTTTGGCATCTGCTTTGCTGTTGGTAGCATGTAGAGAACTGTTTCACCAAATTCACATATTGGTGTTTTGTGTTCTTTGCCCCATCGTCTATAGTAGCTTGTGTTTCCATCTGAGTGAATGGAATACCTGTTGAGCAGGTATGCTGCGTGTTTGACAAGCCACGGCATGATGAGATGCTTGCTTTTGAGCTTGATGCCATAGTTGGTCTCCAGTTGGAGTTTGAGGGCTCTAACTTGGCCAATCAGTGTTCTGTGGAAACGTTCAACGCTTCCTTGTGCTTGTGATGTGTAGGCTGGTGCTTGCCTGACTGCTATGTTGCTACCCATGGCTGTTGCCACCATCTTGAGCAAGGAGATGATAAAGTCTTCCTGGTCTGATTGAAGAATGGTGTTGTTGAGAATTGCATGTGTTCTGCCACATTCCATCAGGAATTGTTGAAGGCAAACTGACAGGTATTGTACGTGCTGCGTCTTGTCCTCAAGTTGGACTGCCATACACATGCCTGTTTCAACGTCCACTGCTGTAAGGACTGATGTTGTTTGCTTTTCTCCTAGTGCTTTGTAGTACATCAGATCCACTTGGATCACTGGTGTTTTGCTTGTTTGCTTTGGATGGTTGTCCTGTCTTCCTTTGCTTTGTACACATGTTGGACACCAGCTTCTGTAGGGAAGGTGTGTGAGCTCGTGTTCTCTTCTTTCTTGTTCTGTTGGTTGCTGAGGTGTTGGCACTCCTTTTGCTCTCTTAGCTTCTTGTTGCTCCTCTGGCTCATCTGTGATGAACTCATCTTTGTACGCTGCGTTTTCTTCAAAATTTGTTGAGCCTGTCCACTCTATGTCGAGTGTTGCTCTCCTCTTTGTCGTCCAGTCATCATCTATTCTATATCCTCTGTTGCCACTTGTGGGCCTCACCATTGTTTGTCTCCATGTTGTCAGTCTTGTCACATCTGGTCCATCATCTGTTTGTTGTGGAATGTACATGTCCCTTCTTGGTTGAACATGCACACGTTTCCAATATGGACCTTCTTTGATCCAATAGTCCTGTGTTGGACTGACTTCCTTTGGATGTGGAATTGCTGTTTGATATGGCTGCGTTGCGGTCATTGCTTGGTCTGTTGGCCTTACCTCTGCGAGAGGCTTCTTCACGTTGTGTCGATACATTGGTGCTTGTGGTTGGTCGGCTGTGGTTTGTTGAGATGGTGTCGCTGGCTCTTTGGCTGGTGGAAGTGCTGGTTGTGGTGGTATGTTGCCTGCAAGTACTGTTCCACGTTTCACTTTGAACCATGTTTCTCCTGTCCAGTTGTTTCCTTGTATGATCCTCTTCTGTTGCTTCTTGTCGAGGTCTTGGTATGCTTCTTCGATGACCTCTGTGTTGTTGTTCGGTCTTTGTATGATTGTTCTTCTGTAGTTCTCCAACCTTTCTGTTGGAACTGGACATCTACTGTCTGGCATGAACAATGCCTTGCGTGTTGTCCTGTGGACTCTTACCAAGAAACCTTGGCTGTTGAATGTCCATAGGTCATTCTTGTTGCGAAGGATTTCCATGCCTGTTGGTGTCAGTGTGACTGGTGCTATTTTTGCTGTTGTTCCTTCTGCTGTCTGGCTGACTTCAAGCCTCAAGTTGGCTGGAAGTGTGATCAGCACAACTGGCAAGAAGTATAGGCCTTCTCGTTGTTTGAGTGCTGAGTTGAATCCCTTGGTGTGTGTGATTGTTGGTGTTTCGTTGAGTTGTGTGTTGAACCCTTGTTCTGCCAGTCTTGTTACTGACATGATGGGTTGCGTCACATCACACACATAGAAGGGAACAACTATTGTTTGCTTGTTGGTGTTGTGCATGTACACCCATTTGTAGCCATGCACTGGGATATCCTCATCTGTTGCTGTCCTCAACCTAGGTCCTTGTCCATGTTGTAGTGATACAGTGGTGTGTCTGGTGCAAACCATGTTGGGCAAACGTGTGTTGCTGCTCCACTGTCGATCATAATGTCCACCTCGTTGTCTCCTCTCTGCTGCTGCACTGCGTGAGCTGTGGTGGTTGCTTCATTGTGGGCACTTGCTGCCTGATGGCCCAGTGCTCCCACAAGTTGTATTGTTGGTGTCTGCGTGTTGGTTTGTGGCGCTGGCAAAGCTAGTTGTTGTTGTTGTTGGACTGGCTGGATATTGTAGTTGCCTGACTGGTCGTTGCTGTACCAGTAGTTGTCGTACCCACTGTTTGGGTCATACCATTGGGATGTTCCATCCTGGTTCTGTTCCTGCGGTGTCTCTGTCATGTTGTACACCGCTGTTCGGCAATCCTTTGCCAAGTGGCCCTGTTGACCACATCTGTAGCATATTGCTGTTGGATTCTTTCCTTTTCCTTTGTTGGGAATTCCTTTCGACTTTCCTTTGTTGCCTTTCTCTACTCCTTTTGGCTGATACCATTGCTGTTGTTTTCCTTTGCCTTTTCCTTTGTTATAACTGCCGTAGCCGCCGTAGCCCTTTCCTTGTTGGTATCCTCTTCCTTTGTGACCTCCTTTGTTGAATCCTTTTCCTTTGTTCTTTCCTTTTCCTTTTCCTTTGCCTTTGTATGTTGCTCCAATGTCCATTGGAGCTGGGCCTCCTCCTAGATTGCTGCTGACTGCTGAAGACGACTGTTGTTGAAGTCTTGAGAACGCCGTGGTGGTCCTGTAGTACTCCATGATTGTTGTCCTCACCTCAGCATATGTTGGTGTTGCACTGGCATTGAGGTGTAAGTGTTGTTGGAGTGGTCCTGTTGTCTCATTCATGAGAACTGCTATCTTCACTTGGTCTGGTAGTTGTGCATTGTTGTCACGCTCGTAACGTGCAAGCTCAAATTCCCATGTTGAGAAGGACTCCTCAAAGTTGTTGGTGTCGAACTTGGGTTTGAGTAGTTTTGTGAGGTAGCCTATGCTTCTTGTTCCAACAGGTATTGCAAACCTGTTGCAAAGTTGCCTGTAGACTTCCACGCCCATTGCGTCTTGGTATTGTCTGCATATTGTTGCTGCTGGGCCGCTGGTGATGTTGATGAGGATGTACTTGAGGTTGTTACACAGTTGTGTCCACTTCTCTCCTTCCTCTATTGTTGTTGCTGCACCAAGCAGCTCTGCATCTGTGAGCACTGTTGCTGCTCGTTCTGCTCTTGATAGCAGTTGTGGAAAGATGTTGTCTTGTAGGCCCATGTACGCTGAGAACTTGTACTTCCATTCCTCAAATGTTGCATAGTTTCCATCGTATGTTGGAGGTTTCAACTTCAGCCTGTGTGTTGATGCTAGGGCTTCTGCTTGTGCTTCTCCTGCTGTTGGCGATCCTATCTCATATGCCGTTGCCATCCTTGTTGTTGAGAGTCCCCCACACTGTGTAGTTGGGATCAAGCCCTCTTCCTGTGCGCTTTGTTGTTGTGTTTGTTTCCTTTCCTTGTCGTTGCAGTGGTGGTGTGTTGGGCTGCTACCCTTTGTTGCTCCAGCTGTTGTTGAGAGTCCCCCAGTGTTCTGGGATCAAGCCCTCTGCCTGTTGGAGCTCACCTGGATGCTTCCAGGATCACTGCTCCGCTACCATGTAAAATGGCAGTCGACTGTTGTATGAACTGTTGATGCCGGAGTTGTGCGCACTGTTGCCTTTTGCACCGTTGGGCAATGGCTCAAGGCCTGTAAGCCACATGTGAGACATGGTATGCATGTTGGGACCAATGTTACATTCTAACATATAAATATACATATATATATACACACATATATATATGCATATGTATATATGGAAAATGTGAGGGGACATTTTATGAGACTAAAGTCGTTGGGGGTGCATGGCAGCTAGTGAGTGGGTCATAGCCTCAGATCCAGAGGAGGTCCTCCCTAGGAGTTCAGTGGGTCTTACGGTGTGAAGATGGGACCATGGCAATATCTGAGATATTATAGACGTCTTTTTTTTTAAAGTGATACATCATAAGGTATTTCTTTGGGTAAGATAGATATCATAGACTTTTTTAAAAGTGAAGCGTAGATCATAAGGTATGAACTTTTGTGTGAGATTGGACACGAATGTCTGCCGTTGGTGCTGGAATTTCTGCCCGAGATCTTCATCATCTCGCCTTGCTGACTCAGTGCTATATGTGATGTCCCAATGGTTAACACCATAACACCATAGCACGGCAGCAGCATGGCCAGCATTAACGCCACCGTCCACCAGATGCCAAGCTGCTCTGGACATGCGCTTCCCAATATCAAGGATGCGACTCCTGCAAAAAGGCTGAGCAAATGATGGCTTCTGAGGGGGAAGAAATGAGACTAAGAATCAAAGAAACATTGGATTTTTATCTTCAAAAAATAGGAGTTGAAGATATTCAAACCAGCAAACATGGGATCAAGACAATGTGGTGGGATCGGGGCCCTCCATCCATAGCCATTGATGGTGAATCCCAATTACGGATGGCTGATGGCTCCGAATGGCTGGCTGATGGTTGACCTTTCGCTTGAAGCAATCCAGGATGATGGACGGCTTATTTCACCTGAACCAATCCAAATAGCCCCATCGCATCTCAATTTACTGGTTGGTGAATAGGTTTCGCTACTATGGGTTGTCATACGCCTCATTAAACCAGGTATAATCCCCTGATAACCAATCAACCAAGTGAGGTCATTGTAAGAAAAATCACCATTAAGCACCATTAATCCATATTTTCAGCACCATGAATCACCATTAAATGGCATTACCCTCTGGTAAGCTAACATAGCTATTGAAAATCCCCATTTTTAATACGTAAACCATCCATAAATGAGCCATAGCTTTCATAGCTATGTTAGGTTACTGGAGGGTAAATTGCCATTAAACACCATCAAATCACCATTAATCATCATTAAATCATCAAATCACCTCGCGATCCCGGTACAACCCATGCCTGGCTTGGAAGAAGAGCGCAAAGACAGCGAAGACTCTGAGTGCTGCACACCCGATGCTGGCAGGAAGAATTCCAAACCTTGGCGTCTCCATGTTGGGCCAGAAGATTGGACGATGGGATCTTAGATGAATGGCAATCCATAGATTGTTAGACACTATTTTTGTTGCATATATAACACATATATATATAGTTTGTTATATAGAGATTGGATAATTCGATCACTTAAACACTACAAGATTGCCAATATCTTTTCGATAATTCTCTATATTGATACTATATTAGATGAATGCCAATATCTTAGATGAATGTGTTATATATATATATGTATTAAATTCTTTCGTATCTTTATTAAACAATAACTCATATCTCATTGGAACATCTATTATCTACGTGGGAGTTTCCATAGTCATGGGGGTACCTCAAGATGGAAGCTTTCTAATGAACCATTCTATCAAAATGGATGATTTGGGGGTACCCCCCCTCCATTTTAGGAAACCTCAGCAGTGATGAAAAAAACACATCGGCGATCATAGCGATGAGCAATCCTCCAAATACTCCTGGAAACATCTTATACCCTATAACAAGATACATGATCTTTTAGGACATATATATATATATACTTACAGTATAGTTATATATATATATACATACACACTATAGTTCCATGTATATATATATGTAGGACCCCTCACAACATCATCATCTACCTGGCTTGTCAGCTTAGATTCCGAAAAGTTGTACACAGTGAACTTGACACGCTATGGAATTGGACAACAGCACAGGATGGCAAAGCCGACTGATACTCCAATGTCAGTTCCTCCATTGAAATGGGCTAAACATCAACCCATGGAATTCATTCACCAAGACCTACTCCAACTTCCAAGTTGGGGATTTGGCTGATCTGGGGGCAGAAGAATCCCAGATCTGATGGATCTAAACCGTCTAAAATCACGGACATCTCAAGATCCCAAGTCACATGCAAATGATCGCAAGGATGTCGGTGACTCTAGCTGCGTGGCACCAATGGCTGATAGTGAACTGCTGGAACCAGAACTCATCAAACCACCTTAGCCGTCCCATATTTGGGGATGAACATCTGGCAGAAACATCTCTGAGAATCTGACCCTGAAACAAATCATAGATAACAAATCTTAGTTTCACTATCTTGGTTGATTCCTATCCAACATTTGTTTGTTGACATGAAAACCCATTCACACTTGACTTTTTTTCATCGATTTTTTGGGGTGGAAAAGCTGATTTTATCATCAGCTGGTAGCTCATCCTCTTAAACAATCGATAGTCATGTGGTAAACCCAACCATAAACCATCCCCGAGGTCTGTGAAACTGGGTATACTGTACCTAATGATTAAGGATGATGGCTGGTTCATGACCCAAATGGCTGGTTCATGGGATGCTGGCATTGGCGGTTTACCACATTACCCCCCAAATTATCAAGTGATTAGGAAGCCTGGTTTAGTTCATATGTCCCTTATGTGGTTTATCCCATATACCCTCCGGTAAACTAACATAACTATGGAAAATCGGAAATTTTAATTTTAATGGGTAAACCAACTATTTCGACTGGGCCATGTTCAATAGCTTTTTGTAGGTTTACCAGAGGGTATATCCATCAATATCCCAGTATTTTCCCATCATTATCCCAGCAAATCATCCCTAGAAACCATATTAATAACCATATTAATGGGATAATATTGGGATAGAAAACCATAGTATCACTATCATTAGAAACCATATTAAACCATAGGGTATTTCCAACCAACCAACCACCATTCAACTGCTTCTGAAAGCTCGGGCACATGGCGGCAAGATGAAGTCCAAGCGAGTGGAAGAACGAATGGACCTTACGTAGCGGAGACATGATATGAAAATGGTGGGGAGTCGCTTGGGGAACAGGTGCAAAGTCAATCAAAATCATATGCACTTCAATGATCTTCAATGTCCAAAGTCATAGTCCAAGAGAGTTGAGGTTCTCTAATGATCCACAATTGGGTAACATCCAAAGTGGCCATGCTCTGATGATCCATGGGTTTTTGGGGTTCCATTGGGGGTTGTGAGCCCAGGCTCCCCGATGCAGCTTGTTTCACCAAGCCACAGGAAGACATCGAAATGGCCAAAGTCCGCGATCATCAGAAGGGCTTCCGAACAGACAGAACTCTGGGCTGAAGCGAAGGAACCAACATGAGCAAAGTCCAGCAGGAATGGTGAGGAAACCGATTCCAGTCGTGCTAAACCTGACAGAAAAACAGCCAAAGCCAGTCAAATGGGAGAACGTACAGGTGACAAAAGGTCCGAATGGAGGAAGTCTGATGTCAAAACGCTCGGGTCGAAACAAGAGGAAGCTTTCAAAGACATCGAGAATTCGAGGTGCAAAAAGTCCAGCACCAAGAGTGAGAAGAGGAACTCCACCCATGCCATGCCAGAGATGAATAAGAACAGCTCCATTCTTGCGAAGTGCTGTGCTGATGAGGAAAGCTCCGGTCCTGCCATGTCGGAGACCAAAAAAGTCAGGTCCAAGCGAAGGCTATGGAAGGGAGAGGACGATAAGTCCAGTCGAGCAGCAGATTGCAAGGGCAGGGTGGAGCCCATTTTGGCAGAATCTGATGCAGATGGAAGGGCTTCCAATTGTGCAAAACTGCGAGGAACTGATGAAGCATCCAGATGAGAAGTGTCCGACACGGGCAACGAGGAGATGGAACCTGCACGACATAAGCCGAAAATGGAGATCAACAGCTCCAACTGGGCAAAGGATCTCAGGAAAATCGACAGCTCCAAGTGACTGGAGTCTAAAATCAACAGAGTCAAAGCCATCTTTGAAGAGCTACGTAAGAAAAGACTCAACTCCAGGTGCACCACATCAGTCGCTGGCAAAGAGTAGATGAGATCTGAACCTCGCTACGAATGCTGGGAGATCAAGGTTGGCTTCACAGTGGGATGGATGATGGATGATGGTAGACAAGTAGACTTGTCGTGTCGTATGTGCGTGTATATATGGCATATATATATATATCATATCCATCGCTCTGTCTATATTTTTCCTATCCATCATATTAGGTACATATAAATTAGTATCTGTTTGTGTGTTTACCCCATTGAAATCCAGTTACCAAAGTCACCTTCCCCCATCACAATGGCTCTAGTTTTCTTGGCGAAAATTCCACGATGTTTATGGTGATGGGGGAGCTGAGTTGGAAAAGATATTCAACATTATTAAACCATGGTTTTTATGGTTGATTCTCTATCTTTTTCACGGCTTACTCATGGTTTGATGGTGAAGTTCCATAGTTGTGCGAGCCCTTTTCTTTGATCAAGATGGGGATGAACATCCTCCAGGGTACCAACGAAAACCGACCCATACCCAGACATGGAGGTTTCCTGAAACGGGGGTACCCCTCGTTATCATCCATTTGTAGATAGGGATTTTCCATGAAATAAACCAACCAGCGAGCTTGGGGATTCCCCATTTATGGATACCCTACAAAAATGGTTTGACCAAACATAGTTTTTTGTTAGCTGGAAAAAAGGCTACCATTGCCATTGGTGGCAACAAATAAAAAACAGTTTTTTTTCATTATCCATCGAGCAAGGTTCCGTGGTGAAATCCATGGCCTCTGAGGGTGAAATCCGCATCATCTCAAATGTGTTAGTTTATGTTATTTTTTTGATGAAATCCAAAATGGTGATTTTCATGGATTCTATGATAATGATTATATGATGTTCTGCTCATGATAAATTCATGAAACTCGCTACCTTGGCAGTTTTTCATGGTGAAACCACCATATTTGAATGGTGAAAAATCCCAAGTTACATGGTGCAATACCAGTTCGCTATTGAACATGGCCATTTTGTTCGTTGATATTCCCAGAACAAAATGAACATTGCCATAGACATCGTTGATTTACCCATCAAACATGGTGTTTTCCATTTTTTTTGTATGTTTACCATATGGTGGGTTCCTAAAATGCGGGGACCCTGAGAGATGGATTTTCGATGTATTTCCTGGACAATCCCATCGAAGTAAATGGATGACAACTCCACAACTCCATGGGTAGCCCTATTTTGAGGAAACACCAGTTTCCCATTGACATGGCTAAAATCCTATATTTTTGTTTCATATGTTCTTCTATAAAGAAACTCCATCCTTATTTATGTTCTTCATATGGCTACTCCAAGGTACATCGAACTAAACGGATGAAATCCCATATGAAGAACCGCGATTTTTGGGCTTCACCCAACCACTTCAGCCAGGTGGCGCGCCGACCCCATCAAGGGCATCAAGGCTTCCAAGCGCGCGAAGCCACGTGGCAACAACGAGGCGTCGGAGGTTGAAGGGTCTGGAACGGGTAAAACCTCAACAGAAACATGGCGATGTCACCAGGCTTTTTCCCTGGGAAAATGGTGGTTTCACCTGGCGAAAAATGAGGATTTCATGGGATTTCGAGATGATTTGTGATAGCTCAGTGAGTTGAACTTGGTTATCTCGGGCTTATGGCCTTGGCCAGCGAAAATGAGGCCTTTCCATAGAACATCGTCCTTTAGATGATTTCAACCAAGATACTATGACCAACCAGTATTTTGATGCTTAAATCCCATATCAATCCCAATGTAGATCCCATTCAAATCATTCAAATCCAATATTTCAGCAATTTTTCAATCTGAAAGCAACATGTTTTCTAGTCAAAACTCAGTCTTGCCACATCCCAATTGGATCCAATATTTCAGCAATTTTTGGATTCTTTCATCACTAATTGGTGGTATACCTACCCCTCTGAAACATGATGGATTTCGTCAGTTGGGATGATGACATTCCATTCCCTTTTCTGAATGGAACGTCATTCAAAAGTCCATGGTTCCAGTCACCACCAAGCAGTAAACCCATTGCATTTTGCAGTAACTACCATTGGAAAAAATGTTCCAGTCACCACCAACCAGATCACCAGTCCATTTCGCCATGGCACCGGCTCCAGCTGAACAGAGCTCTTTGGCAACGAGGAGAGCTCTGGCTGTGCGAAGTCCACCGCAAATGGCGAGGTATCGAAACCTGGATGGGATTTCTTCTATATTTTCAATGGTGATTTTCCATAGTTTTTTGTATGTTTACCAGAGGGTAATATAGTATATACGTATATATGTATGTATAAAGATGATTTTTTCTATGGGATTTAAACTATCAAACATGGTGATCTAACAATCAAAAAATGGGTGAAAGAATGGATTTAGTAGGATTTTTATGGGGAATTTAATGGTATTTCACCATCAACAATTGGGATTAGGTGAAAGGAAAGGTGGTGTATATATATATATATGTATATATGTACATATGTATACATGTATATATGTACATATGTACATATGTATATACGTACCCAGCAAAAAAAAACACATGGTTTCAGCCTATTGAAATTAAAACCTGCGGGTTGGGGTTCAATATGGCTTGACCGTCCTAAAATGAGGACATGCCAATGAGATATTAGGCAGACATCGTGTTTGGCGGCCCCCCAAAATGAATTCCCAACTGTCACAGGGGGATCCGTGCTGCGACCTCCTGGTCATTGCACGGCACAGCCCAGGACTCAGCTTAACAAATCACCGTACCCTCTGGTAAACGAACAGTTTGCTATTGAAGCCATGGCCATAGAAATAGTTGATTTTCCCATTAATAGCATGGTGGATCTTTCCATAGTTTTTGGTATGTAAATAGTTGATTTACCCATTAAAACTTGTGATTTTCCATAGTTATGTAAACGATTACCAGAGGGTATATGAGATAAACCATACTTATGTAAACGTTTACCAGGCCGGGTAATTCACAGATCAATCAGCAAATTGTGGGAGAGTTTCTCATGGAGACCTGGGTCCCTCAACTTGCTTCCTGGTGACAGGAGAGGCTTTGCGAGGGCGTCAGCAAGTCAAAATGTACGAAGTCAGAGGTGGAAAACAAGAAATCCAACCTTGGCTGCTTCGTTGATCAGACATAGTATGCTTAATTTATAACATATTTATAATATCTCTGTCACCGGCAAATGATTTTCCAGTACGGTGGATGTGTATTTGATTGTATTTGTATATTTATAATTCCTGTGGGTGTGTAGCTGGGCTTAATTGATAAACCATATACCTTGGCGACTGGAAGGATTTGACAGAGACGAGGTAGAGTCATGGTAACGTGTGCGTCTTCACTTCCAACTTCTGTGGTTTCCAACTTCTATGATGCTTGATGAATCTGTGGCAGTTCTAATCCTGGCCAACAAGAAACCAAGGGTATCTTGACAATCAATGGATTGGTTGCAGCGGAATTTCTAGCGCATTTCCCTTCAACAAAATATTGGAGAGAGGCACATGGCCCATTCAAAGTGAAACAACAAGAGAAACATGGACAACTTGCACTTTCCATGTCTGTGCAGTCAAACATACCTGGAAAGAAAATAAGAGGCTCAAGTGTCTATCAGTATGTACATAGATACATACATATATATATATATGTATATATATATACACATAGGTTGTTGTTTTTGTTTGTTTTTCAAACAGGCATAGACAACTCAAGGAGATCCCCGCGATCCATTCAAGGCTACCCCAAAGATACCCCCCGCTTGGAATACTTGGTGCGTTCCAAGCTGGGCATCTCCAATTTTCTCCATTTGGAGTTTGGATATACCCTCTGGTTATGACTAACAGTTCGCCATGGAAAAAATTACCATGCTATTAATAGGTAAACCATCTATTTCGATTAGGGCCATCTATACCATGGCTATGTTAAATAACCAGATGGTATAATTATTACAAAATACAGCATTCTTTGGTTATCATTGCCAGTCTTAGATATACTTTATCATTGCCAGTCATTGATACTGAACATCCCATCATATTGGTAAGTTATGGTGGGTAATATCCTCAATACACCCGCATGATGGTTGGTTTCATGACTATGGTGAATCATAGATACCTGCCAGAAAACATATTTTTGAGCTGGTTAGCACATTTTGCCATTAGCAAAGATTGAAGTACTAGTTCGTATCAAAGCAGTCGCTTGACCATTATCCCATCATTATCCCATGATGTTCCCATTATCATCCCATTGTGATCCCGGTGAAACCATATAAAACCAAGGTTAGCCCACTTTACTGACCATCAAACCAATCGGTTTCCGATATGCCCAGGGACCGAAGAGATCCAAAGGTGAAGAGCGAACTTCCTATGTGGCTGAACCTTCAGCGTATCAGCGGCTGATTGCTCGGTGGGGTGAGTTTAAGCAGCAAAAATTGGAATTTAAGGATCAAAGATGCAGATTTGTTTGAAGCTTAAACTGGTTGGTGGTTTTAACCATCTTGAAACATATGAAAGTCAATGGGAAGGATTGTCCCATATATTATGGAAAATAAAACATGTTCCAAACCACCAACCAGTAAATCATGATTGAACCGGCAATCATTTGGACTTAAGCATCAAAAAATTGTTTTTTGAACAACGAACCTGATATGGCTCTGGATCAAGAATCTGGCTGATGAACATGAAGATAGCTATCTGGCATCCATTGATGTTCATTCCTGAAACTATGATACGAGAGGTTGTGACCCATCATCCATGCCAACTAAATATATCCCCGATCTAAGCAAACAAGGGAAACATCACAGTTGGAAGCTATTCTCCTATAAATATGCAGCATTCCAACTAGAGCTATCTAGGAGGCGAAACAACAGGGTTTGGAGAGTGAAATGACCAATCACTAATTCTGTTGAGGGGTCTATTTCGTCCTGGCTAGGACTTCTAAACCTCTCCAATTCAAGTGGTTGATTTTTTTCACTTTCGGA